TTCCTTTGGCATCAAGAAGGGAATTCACAAAGCAACTGATTAAAAACACCGAACAATTTTTGCGCCGCATGAGATGGAAAGCATTCCACTTTTTGAACCCAGGACAAGCGGGAGAGAAAGAAACTTTCGGCTTCAAGACAAACAACTGCCCGCCGGTCATCGAAGAGCTGCACGGTTATGAGGACGGCATGCAACGATTAATCCAAAGCGTCCAATTCAAGAATACGAAATGCCAGTTTCAGAAAGAACTGAATGAAGATATCAAGTTGATTAAAAACGAAAATCGCTTATTCGTTAAAGCGGACAAATCAACCAATTTTTACAAGCTAGAGGCCACGAAGTATAACCAACTCCTGAACGACAACATCACCAAAACATACAAGAAAGCTGACAGCAAGCAACTCAGAAAAATTGACGTCGCAGCCAAAGCAATCACGAAGAAACTAGGTATTAACGACCGGGTCGAAGTTACCGCCCAGAGAAAAGCGTTCGTAACACTTAAAGACCATAAAGACAATTTCTTAAACCGACCCACTTTTCGTTTGATCAATCCATCAAAACAGGAAATTGGAAAAATAAGCAAGAAAATTCTCGAAAATATTAACCAGAAACTTGTAAATGCAACAGGTGTTAATCAATGGAACAACACATCCTCTGTGCTGCAGTGGTTCAAGAACTTGCCAAATAAGTGCGAATCTGCTTTCATCAGCTTCGATGTTGTAGAATTCTATCCCTCAATAACGGAAGATCTACTCGGACGTGCCCTCGACTCTGCGTCTAACTACATGAACATCTCCCCAGATGATCACCAAATCGTCTTACTTAAGCTTGCTAAGGAATCACTACTATTTAGCAATGAGACCCCATGGCAGAAGAAAAATTCCAACGGCCTTTTCGACGTCACCATGGGAAGTTATGATGGAGCGGAGACATGTCAACTAGTCGGCTGCTACCTCCTATCACAGCTTGCGACTATACCAGAAATTAACATCGGACTTTATCGTGACGACGGCCTTGCAGTTATAAACCAGACGCCCCAAAAAGTGGCGAGAATTAAGAAACAGATTTGCATGATATTTGCCCAAAACAACCTTAGAACTACCATCGAGGCAAACAAGAAAATCATCAACTTTCCCGATGTAACGGTTGACCTGATAACCGGCAGATTCGGACCCTATTCAAAACCAGCAACTACCCCTCTATACGTACACAGCAAGTCTAACCACCCACCTTGCATACTACGAAACATCCCCGAAGCAGTTAATAAAAGACCTTCTGAAATCTCTTCTGACGAAGACATGTTTAACAAAGCCGCACCTCTCCACCAAGATGCGTTACACAAGAGTGGCTACACATACAAGCTGCACTTCAGTGAACTGGAACCGCACCGACCACAATACCAAACCAAAAGGCGAAGAAACATAATTTGGTTTAACCCACCATTTAACAGAAACGTCCAGACCAGCATTGGTAGAGCATTCATTAGCCTTATTGACAAGTGCTTTCCAGTCACCCACAAACTGAGAAAATTTTTCAATAGAAACACCATTAAACTGAGCTACTCATGCACACCCAATATGAAACAGATCATAGACGGGCATAACAAAGCTACAATTAGGAACGCAAAAATGTCCGAAGAAAGCCGCCCCCAAAGATTGTGCAACTGCAAAAACGAAAACGAATGCCCTTTAGGAGGAGAATATTTGCAAAGCGAGGTTGTCTATCAAGCCACAATCGCTACCAGGGAAGAAACTGAAACCTACGTTGGCCTCACAGCGACAGATTTTAAGACTAGATGGCGCAACCACCGAATGTCGTTCAACCACGGGAGACGGCGAAATGATTAGCGACAGATATGAAGCTCAATAAAATCGCTGCACGAGCATTTGTTAGTATTCTTTATCTTCACGTGACAACAGTGAGACAACTATGGCGACACATTAACGCCGCTATGTTGCTGGTCAGAAAGACAGTTAAAGACTCGAGTTTGTTTCGTTCATAGAAAAATGTCCATAATGATTGTGGACGTGGGAAGATCTCATTACAACTAGTGATTAATTTGCAGGCGAGGAAAATAACGTTAAATTTGACTATAACAAGCTCTAATAGAATTTTCTACAAGTTCATTGGTTTTTTTTCCGCAATAGAATGTAACTCATATCATACACCCCTAGCTGCCTAAGAAAACGGAGTCTCATCAGTTTTTGTGAAATTATAATACTATGACAAATTTCAATATGTTTGAAGCGATTTGTTAACTAACATACAAAGTAAAATTGACCATCTCAGGCTATAGGAGGGTTCTTTTTAAAATCACTCGTTTTTTTTTTCGGAATAGAATGTAAAGCTTATCATTCACCTTTTAGTTGTCAGTAAATTTTCGTCCGAAGAAGCGAAGTGTCTTCCATTATATTGTGAAATAACAATACTGTAATACAACAACAAATTTCCATGTGTTTGATTCTTCATGCATCCCAAAACTGATCCTCACCAATCAATCAAACACCTAGCTGGGTCGCTCACTATGGTTTTGAAACAGATTCCAGCATTTATTCTGCGACATTAAAGGATAAACAGCAAGAAAAATATGTTACAGAAATTCTTGTCACCGAAAGAATTGTATCCATTTTCTTAACAAAATGAGTGCAATGCAGTGAATACGACAAAAGTTGAAATATTCAGAGCGCATTTTTAATTAGCAAATATTAGTGAGAAAATCTTAAGGCAAATACATACTTGTGATAAAGTTGAAGTCAAATAAGTTGTTCAAACAGTTTCAATAGTTCCCCATCATGTTCTGTCACACGTTGTTATTAAAATATGGTCGCACAAACCATCGCATTACTAAACAACGCCTGTGGCACTTTGTAAAAACTTGGATAGTAGCCAGAGGACAAGTAGACCCAATGATAGCTGTCATTCCTGTCAATAATAATGAAAACTTTTTACTAACGGAGCGCGAGCTTCGTACGGGGAATTATCATGACCCGACAGATAACCTTGGTGGAAGCTGACCTATGTAGGGCGAGCCGGACGGATTGACGTGAGCCGGTCTGTATAAAAAGCCGTTCGGCCCTATAGCCGGTGCACCTGTAAGGCTTTGTTGCAAGAAAAAAAAACCTTGTTCTTTTTTGTTGCAAGAAAGGAGTAACAACAGTGAACAAAAATGAGACAAAAAATCTCGTTTGTTAATAAATCAAGTTTTGAGTTCCTTGTTTTGACTCGAAAAAAATAAAGGAAAAGTTTTTTTTTTTGTGTGGTTTTCCTGCGCACGTTAGTCTATTGCGCCCTATTTAAGTCAAAAAAAAATTTTAGTCAGTGGTCATATGATAAAATCCTTTATGACTGAGTTAGGTCGGGCTAGACGGGAAAATATCTAGCTCTTGTTCTACGTTATGACCTCGTGCCAAATATTTTCCTCATTATCAGGTTCTACGTTATATTAAGGTGTCACACGGTCCATATGGCGTGAAGTTTCTGGTTATCGTAGGATTCCTGAGTTTTTCTTTGTTAGAGTTAATAATAATATCTGAAAATTTGTGTATACAGTTAACTCTCGCCTTAAGGACACGAACTTTTGCTTGTCTCGCGGTCTCGAGGTCTTCCGTAAAGATGGAGAAGACAACTGTACCTCCTTAGGAAGATCTTAACGCCCGAACACTGCAGTTGGCGTCGTCGTCGAGGACAATGAGAAAATATAATTGAAATGAGATCACATTGTGCTGAGTATTTTTTTTTATCCTTATCTCTTAAGTTTCTTACCACAACTTTATTTCCCTTGTAGTTAATTTCATTAGTTATTACATTTCATTCCTTTGTCTTATCTTGTAATTCTAGTATGTGGCTGAAAAGCCCTGTAAAGGGAGCTTCAATAAATGTATGTATGTAACCAGTCAGTCAGCCAGTCTGCTTGTCAACCACTCAGTTAAACAGTCTACAAGCCAGCTAGTTAGCCATTAAGTCAGTCAGTTAGTCATTTTTTAGATTTTGTATGGGTTAGTGACATCTATACTTGTAAACAGAGGCGAAACTATCTTCATCAATTGATCCGCAGTTCGTATAAACAAAGTCGAACTTGTATCATTAATAGTCCTAAACTATTCAAGTGATTTTCTTTCACTACTAATCGCGAAAGTCCTAGCAATGTACGTAAAAAAGTAGATCATTGTCATATCATTTTCTAAAGAATGGTAGAATTAACATCAAGCGTCTACCATTTGCTTCCCGTAGAAAGACCGTAAAATTACTTGCGGACCAAGCGACCCTGAAACACCCTCTTTCGGTGGTTTGTTTAAGGTGGTACCATAATCTTTCTTACAGGACCATTAAGAGTTGGAGCGATGAAACTACAACTTCCTTTCGTGACCATAAAAGTCCGGCAATTATCAGACAAATCGTGCACAGAAACACTGCAACATTGTAGGAAATACGTCACGACATCTATTTAACAAATAGATTCCATGCTGCAGTGCGTCCGTTCGGCAAAAATAGATCAGAGATGATATCAAAATGTGGTAAGAACAAAATAAGGTGGCACACGAGGTGAAGCTGACGTTATCCTGATGGTCTTACCACATTTTGGCGTCTTCTGTGATCTATTATTACTGTGCAGCATCATGGCAATATGAAATCTATTTCTTTCCGATGATAAAAAACGCAGAATGTTGATGGCGACGTCATCTGTGCGTCAGTCCTCCAATAACTCATGAGCAAGAACCAATAAAAATGCGTGTATAATTCAGCTTAGCATATCCACAGATAGAATTGAGAAGTGTAACGATGGGGATGATTATTAGGATTGCACCAAACACAAGGTAAATTAACGGTGGTAACACTGAAAAAAGCACATCGTTCGTAACCTACAGATTCAAAACTTGTTCATCTTTTTCTTTCTCTTACGCTAGAGTTTCAATCTTGGATTTTGTAACCTTTTGAGACCAACTTAGATATAAAGTATTTGTCGAATAGTTTGCTGAGATGGAGAGCCACTAGTTAAACAATTATTCTGCCATGCGTCACTCGCTTTAATATAGATGTTACTCACTTTGAAACTGACACAAATCTCCTACAGGGAGCAAGAGAGAGTTTGTAAAACGCTATCTGACAATGCCCTCAGAGGGTCATGATTCTAACGACTTATACAATACAAAATAGCAAAAGTTCTTCATGATATAGCACTTTTGTCCATCCCTTCGGTTACGGTCATGTGATGGTATGCAAGTTCAGTGTCGACCTCTCCTATCACGATCACGTGGCGATCTATCGCGGCGTGGGGGTGAACGGGATCTATCCCGGCGAGGAGGGGACCTGGATCGGCGACGGGGTGGAGACCTGGATCGAGAACGACGAGTGTATGGAGGAGAAGGTGAACGAGACCTAAAACCAAGAACAAATTCGTTGATGTTGTATCACTTTAACTTGGATCAATATAATACTCCTAGGGGTAACCCTTTCACCACGAGGGAAATAAGATGATCACGCACACTCGTGCTCAAAGTTAATTCCCGAGCGTAGAAGCTTCCTCGCGAATACACCTTATTGTTTTACTTGATCAGAAGGCTGGTCTGTAGAAAAGATAGAGAATCCACGCGCTCTGATAACGGTATAAATTTGGCAAAGTAGGAAGAATCGATCTTTTGGGCAGAAAGCGAGGACTACAGAATACTTACAAACCTCAAGCGTAACGGCAACAGTGTCAAAAGACCTAAGTACTGCACAATCTTAATTTAATACTTTTATCTGAGCTCTTTTTTGTTTCAACTCATAAAAGGATCTTCATTCTTAATAAAAAAAAAAACCTATCACAACAATATTAATCTGACAATGTTTGGATTGATGGGCAACTTTGTCCACTGACATTACTTCTGGTGGTTTTAGGGAGGCAAACCTCCCATTCTGAAAAGTTTAAGAAGAAAAAGCAGCAAACCTTGGCTGTAACTTTTAGGCAACTGATGATGCTTTTCTTTTAAGCACATTCATGATTTATTTCAAAGCTCAAATAAAAAGCAATGGTCGGTCACAGACCAGGAGTAGAAGAGAAGCGAAGTCACAGAACGTGGGTGATAAGAAAAGTATTCTTATAGGATTGAGTTTCATGGGACCTTATAAACAGACACTGACGGAAACGTTACTTAAAGGTGCACGAAAATCACAGCTAAGGAAAAAGAAGCCTCAAGAAAATTAAGATAAAGTGTTCTTAAGGGCAGAGACTTACATCGTCGCACTTAGAGACAACTGGATAATTGGAGGAATAGTAATAAGTAAAAAGAAATCCGTTTATTATTTGAAAAGCAGTGTTTTAAACAGGGAGTTTTTGGTCTGTTGGTCAAAAATTTTCCCAAAGCATATTTTTTCCCTTGAGGTGACCAAATTAATATTATTGAGGTTTTGACAGGAAGTAATGCTTGCAGAACACCGTGTTTGACATAAAAGATCTTTGTGACCGTTTTTTGTACAATACAATACAATATAATAGAGTAACTTTGATATCGACACGATGGTGATTAAAGCGTTGCCGCTTATGGGGTCGTGCATTTAAGCTAACTAAAAATTTAACAACTAAAAGTATATTAAAATCATCTCAATAATATAGAAAATTATCGTTATCATTGTGGGTCATTGTTTGCGGAGATTCCGCATGAAAGTCTAAATTACTTAACAATGGTTGTGTACAAACCGCGGTGATGTTTCTTTTGCACCGGCAGCACCAGCGCCACCACCACCAGCACCACCACCTCTGATAAATCAAGATAAATAAATAGATATGTTCACTACACATGCTGGAACTTGATCTGGTTATTTTCTTTCTCTGCATTTAGTGGTTAAGAGGATGGGACGTCTACATAACGATTAGAAGGCATTGGGTTCGTTGAAATGAAAATAAAACAAAAAATGTTCAGAATTCAGTATAGAGTACCTTAACAGTGGATTGTGTTCAGGCTTCAAGTCTAAATAAGAGTATTCAAGTATTCCAATAACTGAACAATGAATAAAGAAAAAAGAAAAGAAGGAACGACACATACCTTCTCCTGTTTCGCCGGTTACGTCCATAGAGCTCTCGTCTAAACAAAGAAGGTATCCACAAGTCACATTAGTAATGTATGTTTTGTGATCAAAGTGAAAGTGATGCTACAGAAAACATACTTGGCAAAAGTTATGGTAAAGTACCCTGTTTTCTCTCCACCTGCATCAACCTAAAAAAACTCACCGCAGTATTCCTGAAATGGGCCGCATGTGCATGAAGTTACAAAACCCACCGCGAGAACACTCTCTAGGAACATACAAGAAGACTTCTATCAAATGGATTTACAGCAGTGTAGTGAACAACAGGCTTACCGGCTGTCCCGCGAGATTGGTCTCAGATGCATGAAGTTACAAAACCCTCCTCGTGTGCATTCACTGCATAACAGATCATGGGATCATACAGTCAGACACTGTAAGCTACGCTTTAACGCTTTTACATGAATTAAATGAGAGAGGTTGTACAAGGGCCTAAATTAATTAACAGTAGGGCACTTAAGTCTACATACAGTCTGTAGTGAAATGTCCGCTAGCATACATAATTATGCTAGTCTCTCTGGAGAGGTTAAAGAAAAAGCAAATTGAAGAATTTTTACATTTGGTACTACTTAAGGTTTTTTTTTTACATGTAAACCTACAGAATTCATAATTTATGCATCAAATTGCAGAGTGAAGCAACTTATAAGCAACTTTCATGAATAACATTGGACCAACACTCATCACCAAAGTTTTAAAAATTAATGAGAACAGGGAGATGCTTCTAATTTATTACACTACGCAGAAGCTTTCAGTGCACAGCTTGACACTAATGGTAGCCAACTAGCCATAAGCTAGTAGAAGTTCAGTTTTGGCCAGTGGTTTTCGATTTCCACTAGCCAGTTTGGCTAGTAACCAAACTGAAATTGCTGTAACATCCAAGTTGTTACTAGTCACTTGGCTAATAAGTTGAAAAGTTAGTGTCGCATCCTGCAGTGATTAATAAATATCAAGTGAAGGTGTAGTCTGATTGTCCAGGTGAGTGTAGTCCTGAGAAGGACTGTTGTCGGTGGTAGTGACTGACGTTTTGACAACCTGTGCAGAAGTCATCATCAGAGTCAAGTGACTCTGATGATGACTTCCTCACAGGTTGTTGAAACGTCAGTCACTACCACCAACAACAGTCCTTCTCAGGACTACACTCACCCGGACGATCAGACTACACCTTCACATGTTACCCCCGGGTTCAAACCATTTACTGTAATAAATATCAAGCTAGTCAGTAAGATAACAATCTGGTACTTACCCCATTTCATACTGTCTGCAACATGCCTCCCTACAAATAAAGGAAAAATTCTCTGTGAAGTAAGAACACGCCATGACGACTGGAAAAAACCACTCCATACAGGTATGAAAATTATACATATATAGAATTTGTCAATGGTAGCTCTGAGACATACTAAAAGCTTGTTATATGTGTGTGCACATTCTCTTGCAGCACTTTTAAAAACAACACAAGTGTATAATCCTTCAACCTAAAATTCTTTTTTTGAGAATTTGTGGTCACTCGTGTCTGGTCAGTAGTGCAAGCTAGTGCTTTAATTACCTTAACACAAAAACAATGTCCCTCAAAATCAAATTCAATTTAATTGGTAATACTGTGTATTACTTTGGCATAACACTTAATAGGACACAACTTGGCTGCTATACTGATACTCTCAACTGTCTAAAGACTAGTTTACATATGTTGGAAAATCATAAATGATCAGTGACTTCACTGTTTTGTGATCATCCCAGATTGTGCTGAAAACTGGGAGATTGGCAGACATTTGTCTTGATGGATTACAGATGCCAATTCATTGTGACTCTGGGCTAGTGATGCCAAGAAACATAAGGATTGGCAGTGAGCTAAGAATATCACTGATGTCCCTGATGATAAAAATAGGAGTTTTCAATAATTGCCAATCACTAAAGTACTCTGGTACACGTCAGGAATATAGATACAATCCCAATTTTCCTGATCTGTTGCCAACCATCCAGGAAATCAGGGATGTCCATGAGTTTGAGTTTATATTAGTCAGATAACTCTAGGAAAGTTGGGAGACATTGAAATTATCAACCATCTGGGACTATGGTGACATATAAAAACCACATTACCTGAAATCAGTGACTGGAGATAGCTCAGCATAAATAGGTTGACCTACAAAGAATGAAAACTGTTATACACCACTACAATACAGAGAGTAAATACAAGTATTCAATCTCTTTTGTAGTTTAATTGCACCGAAAACTCTGGCTAATTAATACATTAAGTGAGAGTTCATTGTTCTTAAAAAGTGTCCTTTAAAATAAAATTAAAGCAAGATTGTACATCTTACCATTGTACCAACGATTGTCCAAATCATTGACGGCTTTTTCTGCATCTTCTTCATAACGAAACTTGACATAGACATTCCCAACAAGATGGTCTCCCAGATTGTCACACACATTCATCTCTTCAATTTCCCCATACTACAAAAATGTGAGGATTTTTTCAGTACAGCTTTCATTTAATTTTGTTATCAGTATACTTGAACAAAAAAAAACATGTACAGCATTGTTAAAACCCATAAACATGTGTACTCATTATTCCATTAATTACACCAATCAATTTGAAGCTTCAACAGCCCCCCAAACACACACACACACACACCACACACAACCCATGGGCATTTGAACATTGTCCATGCTAAGAGAGTGGGGAATTTGATTTGAAGCTTGCCTGGCCTCCAGCTGAATACAAGTGTTGTATCTTTAAAAATGGAATTGTTTAAAGGTAAAGAATTTACTTTGGTGAGTGAATGTCTTAGAAGAAAAGGTCTGCATGGTCTGGTTTTTAAAGCTTGCTCAATGAGTAGAAAGTCACCATAACTGATTTTGCCTTTTACAAACACAAAGGTTTTTGGGCATTTGAACATAGTTTTGGCCTGGGGGTGGAAATTTGAATAAACCAATCTTCAAAGGTTCAAATTTGGCAATACCTTTGCCAAATTTGAACCTTCTTCAAAGGTTCAGCCTTTGGCAATCCCTTTGCCAGGGATTGCCAAAGGGTGAGGGTTGTTGAAGCTTTGAATTGATGGATGCATAAGTTATGACAAAAAAAAAGATGCAGAGCAAACTTCATGCCTGTTCCTACACAACACTTTTGTTCAGAAACTGTAACTGTTACATAAGAACAAAACAAGATGGCACCATTGAAAAAAACAATACCAAGATGCTATATTATGATGTTATTTTCAAATCATTAAATTCAACACATACCTTTTCTTCAAGCTCCAAGAAAACATCCTGTGTGAGGAAAATGATAGTCAGGGATTGTACAATTCAATTGTTAAAGCAGAGGTTTCATTAAGGGCGAGGCACTGGGCAAATTGACTAATTGCAAGGACTGTTTTGCCCAACTGGTTTGACAATCTGGAGGAAAGTTTATCTTGTAAAGAAGTTTGGTTCAAAAAAGTTTGTCCTGCCTGTGAAAACCAGTTGCCCTCTTGCTGAACACATTAATGAAATCCTTGTCAAAGAGTGGTAATCAATTTCTGTCTGCTCACAAATTGTTATTGACTTTCAGTCAGTCAACCAATGCATATACCATTAGCATATCTCTTAGATTAAGATTTTAATCTAAGGAAAAAAGAGAGTGTTATAATCCCCTAGTGTGATATTTTTCTTTATTCTCATCACTTGTCTGCTTGATATTGTATTGACAATGTTGGGATAAATTTTGTCTTAATCACTCATGGGAGTTAATATAGAGTGCCAAACCTCAAAGAATCTGTCGTAATGTTCCTGAGCCTCTACATCAGAAATGGCACTACCTGGAAAAGAATGTCAAAATAAAGGTTTGCTTTCTAGAGATTAAGTCATGCAAGATGTATTCAATGTTCTAAGTACACTGTGGTGAAACTTAACTTAAGGACCTCAAAAGTTAGCTGGGGATAGTAAAGCATTGAGGATTTTACAGCTATAGTATGAACTCACTTGTCCCATCAGCAACCTGAGCTGCACTCTGTGGATTCTGATACATATTTTGAAGTAAAATGGTCTGGAAGAGAACGAATAGCTGATGTAAACAAGATAGTTAAGAAGGTATGGAATTAGTTACACAACAAAAACATAATTTCAGTCCGAAACATTAACACTTATTGGTCCCCTCTGAAGTGGTGAACTGTAATTTTAACAAATGATTCTGTGGTTGGCTTTAATATATAGATTTAGCCAAGCCTAAAAGCGGAGCTCCCAAGTTCGTAATATTAATCATAACATAAAAGATGTGCATTTGCCAAGACTCGCCTGAGTCACCCCTCCCTTAGGCACATACGTACACTCGGTCAGTCACGTGACAACCAAACGAAAAGAGGTTGACCATATTCCATGGGTATGGGGCTCTACCCACACGTGCTTCACATGCGTGGGAGCCCTGCTACAAATCAAAAGGTATGTTTTTCTACTTAAAACAGTTATTGGTAGGAGAGGGAGCATGACGCATGACCTGTACAGACAATGTTGATTCAGAAAAACAGTTTTTCTTGATAGTAAAAGAATGGTAGACAGAGCTGTAGAACATTACTTTTGGGTCACCAAAGAGCAAATTTAATAACTTTGAATAAGAAATGAGTTAAAAGAAGCTGTCTTGGATGTTATAAGTACACAAGTTACATGAAAAATTGGCAATATGATGAATTTCTATCAAAATAATATGGGAATACTTTTCACCCCCAAATGAAAACAGTCATGGGCATACTATGAAACAGATGGGCATACTATGAAACAGATGGGCATACTATGAAACAGATGGCAAACGCAATGGAATTGACAACTGACTTGACTGAATGTTGGTTTGTTGTGAAGCCTTGAACAGCGTTCTCCATGGCGACATGCACCGATTTTGAAGTAGAAAGAACAATTTACTCTGTGGAAAAGATCAAAAAGGCAGTCAAAATGAGATACTCGAGGAAATTTCCACACTGCCCCATATATCATCATGAATACTTGGATCAAGAAGATGATGGCCAAAACAATAGATTGCCTTTAGGAATACGAGCTTATTTTAGAATAGTATACGGAAATATTTCCATGACGACTACTGCCATGAGAACATAAATGCAGACTTGTGAACAACAACACGTTTTGGATCATGATCGCTTGACTTTATAAATAACGTGCACCAATCTCTTGTATCGACACATCGATGCTAAGTTTTCCAAATCAACTGCACGTTTAAATCTAAAGCTATATTTTCTAGCCTTTCTAAATGACAGAACTTGGTAAAACTGCGGTAGTCTGAAGGTATACTTCGGAATCTACGCGTCAAGATGACATATGTAGATCGGATGAAAAGAAAAGTAATGCCATATTTAACTCTGCGGTCTGCAGTGTTGAACATTTGCTAAGAAACATTCATGCAATTTTAACACAACAAAGCAAAAACTAGTTTGTAAAAGACAAAATTTATATAGGGAAAGCTCAAAAATCTAAGAAAAATCGCTTATTATGTCCTTACTTGTCTTTCTCTGTTCCAAAGATCGACGCCAAGTACTCCGCCATGCTGGTTCACTCGTTTACCCAGGACTCTTGGCGAGCCTTATTGCAGGGTGCACTTTTCTCTCGCCCCAACTCTTTCTCGTCCGCGACACCCTCTCGCTGTCTCTGGATGGGCCGCCCAACTCAGAGAGAAAGAATCAGACCCGTATGCCTAGTTAAGGTTACCCTGTGTTGTACCCCACCTAGTAGAAGGTTGTTTGGTCGACCAAAAACCACTTGATACCAGACTGGGAAAGATTTCCAAATAGCTCCATTACCGCTAAAACAATGGCATAGTCCCAATTTTGTCAGTTTCCTTTCTTCAAGAACTGTTGGCATAATGAAGTATGAAGCTGTGAGGAAATCTTGCTGCAAACAGTCGTGGCTGATCTGAGCTTAGAGAGGTAAACCTCACATGGGGCTGGGTGAAGCACAACATGCTGCACTAATCTATAAACCAGGCTTAATGGGAAGAAATTGTTGCTGCATGATCATGACCCACCATCAGATGAAGCTGATTAAGTTATCACAGAAACTTATAACAAAGGTCATAAGCTTCTGGTTGTAATTAATAGCAACTGTCCCAGCATCAAGGTGGCAGCTGCCTAGGACATATATGTGACTGTTTACTGCAAGTGCAAATTATCCTTTTTGTGGATGATCTTAGTCTCTGGTAACCATTAAATGCCAGAAATCAAGTTTGGCCCAAAATTTTTACTGGACCACATATCAGGGCTACTTTAAGTATGCATGGTCCTCTATGAAAATGCTGTTTGCACACATGAGATAGTGATTCTAGATTCACTACATCTTTATCCAAGGAAGGAGGAGGGCTGTTACAGGCCAGTTGAACAGTCAATCAATCATTTGCCTCCACAAATTTGTTATTCATATCTTTTAAATAATCTTTCACATAGATGAAAAGGAAAAGGAACCATAACCAAGTTGTGCTAGGGAGCTTTTGTCAATTCAAAGTCTGAGATTTAAAAGGAAAGGGAAATGATTAAAATAAAAGGGGTAAAAAAAACACCTTGACATTCATAAAATCATCTATATGGGGTTGATTGATGCAAAGTTGTGGTTCAGATTTATCTATAATCTAAAAAACCTTTGAAAACCAAGTGTTTTCTCTTCATTTCAGATCATGGCAATGAATACTAAGAAAAGGAGAATAAAACCTGTCATACTTAGAAAAAAGAAAAGCTCATACATAATTATGTGTCATGAGTGTAGATGAAAATCTGAAAAAAAAGTTAAATTCATGGAGCACATAGTTGACAACTCAATAAATTTTTAATTAAAAAAGTTTTTGGCATAGCAGCCAATATTTACAATGTCCAATTATGTAATATTTTACAACTTCTGCATCAACTTGTGTTTCAGTGGTCCATTTCTAGCTTCCCTACTACTGGAGATGTACAAAAATGTAAACAAAATGGCAATGTTGAACTGATTTATGGCTCTCCAAGTGGTATGACAAATGAAATCTTGTCTCCAAATTCTCCCCAGCTTGCTCTATATTTCTGATAGATGACAATCCATGCTGTTAAACCGGCAAACCATATAAGAAATCCTACAGCTGACTTAATTACATCTGAAAGATATTCAAAATTATACCACACTGTTACTAACTTTTTAACTCCAACATTTTTATCAAAATTGAACTATATTGTTTGCATTTAATTTTGGTATGCTAAATGCAATATTATTGGCAGTACTTTAACCACTGGGTTTCTAAAGGACAAAAAGGTTAGTAAAAAAAACAAAACAAGTCATTATATCTTTAAGTTATAATTACATCATTGAATAAAATCTTGCATTCTGATTGCTTAATGTAGCAAGGTATTTAGCATGGAATTGTGAGTTGAAAACAAGGCTAAGTAATATTTTTCTGCTTCTATGTATACATAAAAACTATAAATAATGTACAAGTCTTCTCAATTTTACTCAATTATGCAATTCAAGGAAAATCCATTACTGGACTTGTAAATTCTGTTTTAAATTGTATTTGAAAACTGACATCACACAAGTTGCAAAGCAATAAGTGCGATATTGGTTTTTGCATGCAATTTAATGTGGAATTCCCTTGTCAAGTAAGGAATTTTCCTATAATACTCGCACTTCAATTCGCCAATTTGGCAGGCAATATTTCACTGTACAGCCAGTTAAATTCAAAAGTTTCTTTCACCTGAAATCTCCTTCCTGTCTGTTTGAGCCCAGGGATAAAATACATGTCTCCCTACCCTTGTTTTCTGGGTCTGTGCAATAAGTTAAGGAACCTAGTTTTTCAGTAGGGATTTATGGCCATGCACACTTTGCACTTGGACCATAAATCTTTGAAGAAAAAAACTTGGTCCTTAACTGAAAGTACAGACTATGAAACTTGGGTAGTAAGAGGCGTCAATCCTGGAGTATCACAGGAGGTTATTACTGGTGATGAAAACAAACCTTTTAGAACCCAAACCTCTGACAATTTTGAAACATGAACTCCAGCAAGAATGAGTGTTTCTACTGTGTTGATCAAATTTCCCTCACGTACAGATGGCTTTCAATTCATATCCTTGTAAACTTACAAGATTTCAGCTTTGATTGTCCAGTGAAGGTTGGTCTGATGAATGCCTCCCTAAAGAACCACACTATATTGATAAACCAGAGAAATGGCAGCAAAGCAAATCCTCCTAAGAAATGTGTTGACGTGAGTCAAGGAAAATAGACAAACAAGCGAAAAAAGAGTAAAAAATAAGGAAAATAATGCATTCAGGACTGTTAAACGGTCAAATTCTAGTGTGGGGTGGTGAAATATCTATGTTCTCTTGCTGTAGCCAGCGACTTCGATTTTCGACAATCTTAGCAAGACGTTGGAGTTCCCTTGTTCAGCACTGTAAAAAAAAAATTATCTATATATAACCATAACACGGGGAAACATGCGATAATTCCAATCTTACGAACATTTACATTAGCATGCATGATCTGAAGTGATTGAAATGAAACGCCTGAGCGCTAGCATGTCAACTCACGAATCATATCTATCAAAATCGACCATATAACCCAGCGTAAAAGTATAACCTGTGACCATAGATAAAAAGGAATATAAGTATGATATATTTTCTGCATAAGTTGACTTTCTCTTCGTCAGGAACTTTCCTCAAATCCATGGTCAAGCTTGTACGATTTTTTGTTTAAAACTTTGGAATCTGACGTGATGTTGTACTCCAGTCCCATCATGCAACATAAGAAAGCATGACTTCGCGTGTTCTTACAACACACTAATCAGATATCCAAGATGGAGGATCAAGACAGGGGATTTCGTCGAGGTCGAGGCGGCCGTAGAAGAGAAAGAGGCTTTAGGGAACGGCCTTCAAGGGTAAATAATGTCATTTTAAAGTTTCTTCCCCTCTGTGCCGCGAGCTTTATCCACTTTTTGGAAAGTCGTAAACTGATAATCCGACGAGAAATGGGTTGACAGCAATTGAATTGGACATTAATAATATTTTATTCATGCAAACTGCAGCTGAATTCCTTTAACATATCTTTATATTCTAAAAGGTTTGTGACTTGGGTTATCATCTGGTTACAATAATGTGCTCATTTACAATAATGTGAGCTTTACAGGACACCGAAAATTTAAGACTCACATTTTGAACAGAAGACTTCCGGGATTCACACCAATACTTTGCATGGTGGGAAAGATTCCTTTCGTGTAGTACAAGAAATACTGTAGATGATGGATTTGTTTAAAATGCTTTCAATTCATTAAGTCAATGAATTTATGGAATTTTGTATGGTGTAGCTAGTCCAGCTATTATTTTATTCAGCATAACAATTTTTTTTTGTCAGGGTAAAGGAGATGGTCCCATGGGAGCACATTCTGCATCCCCCACAGTACCACCCATGAAGACACCCATTATCCTCACCAAACCTTCTGCAGAGAGGGTCAGGGTCAAAAATTTTTTTTTACTACTGCTTGGTTATTATTAAGACTACAAGCAATCCCTCCTTGTTCGTGAAGTTTATCATGCGAGTTAAAAAAGAAAAAAAAATCAGGGAAAAAAGTTTCTGTTAGTGTGCCCTGGGGAACTTTTGGAGTGACATGGACATGCTGCAAGAGCTCCACGAGTGAGGTGCCCAAAAAGTATATGGTAGGGACTACAGATTAAGCCCGAGAGTTTGAAATAATTATATGTTGCACATACAGCGCAAAAAATTAATATGATTTGTTATTGGCTGGAAATGTGTCAGCAAGTGGTCATTATATATGGATTTACTTTCAAGTGGTATACATGGAATGAAGTCATAAAATAATATTATTCTGACTGCTACTTTTTTCAGGGACAAGAAACACCAGTAAAGCAAATTTTGATAAAACCAAGGTAATAGAGTTGTCCAAGTTCAATAGACCAAAGATTTATGAGCCTCTTAAAAAATCAAAATTGAGTGAAACAGCTTTTGAGAAAATATGATAATTTTTGTTCTGTCAAATGAGTTCAGATATAAATTGGTCATAGTAAAGAGTTTCTAAAGTGGGCATTTTCAGGGCTAGCCTTTTGTCAGAGGGAATGAAAAGAAAGGTTCATTTTAAAGAATAAATTTACAGAGTAGTAATTGTGTTAGTTAACAGAGGTTAAATGTGTATTCAGACGGGAAATTATATCCTGTACAAATTTTCATTACCTATCAACTGCAGCAAGAACACGAGATGTTATTGTTTCTGTCACTTAAACTGAATACAACTCATTGGCTGGGAATTGTTTTAAGATAGCATAAGTCACAGTATAAACTGGAGAGATTATGTCTATTATTTCCAGAATAAGTGATTGAATATATCTTCAGCTAAATATGGTCACCTTTACCTTGTATATCCCAAAGGGAACAATTACCAGAGGCTTCAGCAAGTTCCAGTGCTCCCCAGCCAGTCACATCACGTGGAAAGACTCTTTTGTCAGATCATTCAGGTGGCCAAGGAACTGAGAGATCCACAAGCACTGCACCAGCACACAGTATGGGTAGTGCAACAGGAGGGCCAGTATCAGGTAAAATAAGTGTATTGACTGGATGTGGGATATACCTCTGAATTGGGCCTTTTAACACTTTTCTGTGCCTACCTTTGTTGGTTGCAATCTAGAGAATTGTTTTATTTCCTCAGGATCAAGTGGTAGTGTTGATGCTTTAGCAACTAACATGGCCTCTCTTAAACTTGGTGTACATAGTCATGATGGTGCGCCACAACTATTGAAATTGCTGGATGAGAATCTTCAGTGGAATGATAGTGCTTTAGAGGTATGCCTAAGGACTAAGACTGAAAATTTTATCCATACGCTCAGCTATGAAACTTATTCCTGTTGTGAGTGTAAGATACTTAAATCTAAAAATACAAAGATTCTCTCTTGTAATACATCTTTCGAAATTTGTAGTCTAATGGAGTTTTGATAGATGAAAACTCAGTTGTTATCATGGCTTGCATTGGTCACAAGAATTCTGAAAACTTCTTTAGTGAAACTTAACTTTATTCATAATTTTATGCTAATCCAACATTTCATAACCTTCCTCTTGCTCGACCTATCCCAGCTGTATTCTTATTGTAATTGTAGTTTGTAGATATTCATTGTAAGAATATTTTTAGAAGTGTAATATAGTTTTTATTAGTATATACTAAAACAGTGGATAGCGTTGAAGGCGCGATCTGATTGGCTAGTCAAAACTCCGAATATCCTTTGCTATTTACCTCTGAGCAACTCGGGAAAAAATGGCGTGCCAGTTTGCATCCGTGACAAGCGAAGAAAACACTCAAATAAGGACGAAGCAGTCCCTGAAAACACAGAAAGCAACTAAATTTGGTTTGGCCGTGTTTAAAAGTAATGGTAACTGGGAGTTTATCGATAAAAACCAATGAAAAAGGTTTTGTTTACAAATGCAAATTAATCTTGCATAACCTCACTTGTTCACTTGAAAATCAAAGTTAAATAGTATTTTTTACAGAATGGTTTCAAATACAGAAAGAGTTTACAACACCATTTGAAGAAATGTCACCACCAGAGCTGAACAAATGTCTTCAGAAATTTTATCTGTCAGCGAAAAAACGAGACGGCAGGTTTTACAACAAAAAATCACTTACCGCGATCCGAGCCGCGTTGGATCGTTACGCATGGGAAAATGTTGGAAAATGTTGGAAAATGTTGGAATCATTGCTGAAATGTATGAATTAAAATCAATTCTTGGTGGTGTATATTATCTCACTGTTTTAGTATATACTAAAACAACTATTCACCTCAGTGTCGGTGGTTAGCAGTGAATATTTACCTCGCCGCTTCGCGGCTCGGTAAATATCCACCACTAAACACTTCCACTTCTGTGAATAGTTGTTAACTATTGTTAGTCCTATTCCTATACATACACTTATACTTCCTTTTCTTTACGACATGTATTTTGTTACTTAACTTTGTTTTATAAATTTAGTTTGAGGGCCACTAGTTACTCAGTTGAACTACTGTCCCGTGTCACCCTTGTTAAATAAAGTTGATTGATTGATTGATAGTATTGATTGACACCCCTATAATCTATATTGTAAAAAGGATTCATGGGATAACATGGTAAACACACTTTTTCAAACAGAAGTGAAGTTCACTGAAAACCAGTGAACCTGAGAAGACTTCAACTATGTGACATTTTTTGCCTCAAAAGCTGTGTGTGAAGAAGTACTAAATTCTGAATTTTTGGTCGTAATGGTGGCCATTCACAAAACATTCAGCTTGAACCTTCTTTGAGGAGGAGTACAATTATTGAGAACAGTTGCTGTCGGATGCAATTTTTAACCGTGTGATGCACGATTATTAAGTCTAAAGCTTGTCAAACACGACTATTAATGATTCAGTCACAATTACTAGCCATACTTTCCACGATTATTAATTGTAGTAGCACACTCTTTAGGACTAATAATCGGAAGAGAATTAAGCCCTTAGTGATTAATAATCTTCATTTTAGGATCTTACGACAAATAATTGTTGAATTTTTTTACTCCGGAAATTAAAAACATTCCAGAAATTAAATAAACACCTGTTTTTAACACTCACTTCTTTGTCATTTAGATGCTTCTTGATCAAACAGATTTCCTGGTTGTGGGAGTCATTGGTCCACAAGGTGTTGGTAAATCAACTATTCTCTCTGTTCTGGGAGGAGCTGGGCCTTTTACTGACCCCAGGTTAGTGATTCTTCAGCTTTTAGATACTGTTTTCTTAAAAAAAATTACTCTGACCAAATGTTTCAATGACATCATGTTAGCCAAATTGGTCCACTAATAAAAATAACAATTTAACAGCATTTTTGGCACACCAAGCTGTTCTCTTGTAGATCTATATTCATTTTTCTCTAATTAGTTCCAGTGCACTTTTATAGCTGCTTCCATGTGAATGATGACAGTTTTACTGCAGTTTGTCTTGTGATGTAATCACTTGTAATTTTGTTGATGTGTGGACTATTGAGCAGTATTGAACTGTTACAATGATCCACTGAAGTGGAGGTGGAGAGTGCTGGATATTTACTGAGCCACAAAGCATTAAGGTTAACATCTACCACTTTCACCAACACTCAGGTGAATAATTGTCAAGTAGTATATACCACAAAATAAAAACAATAGTTTGTTTCTGTCAATATACCAAAAAAATGGTCAGAAATCAAACTCTTGACCTGCAAATTTGTCTTGACTGCTCAGAGGTGAAGAGTATTTGCCAACAGCTTCTGAAAAAGTCAATCGACATGACAATACAATCCAATACTGTAACAATATTCTTTATTTAATGAGGGTAATGTAATTAACCCAATGAGTTATCTAACTTACGGCCTTCGCAACCCACCCATCCCACCCCAGGGGAGGACATCCATCACACAGTAATCTCATACATGGGAAATTAACGTCTCCTACCCCTAATCCTGCAGGAGTGGGGACCTCCATTTATTCGTCCCTATCCGAAAAGACTAGAATATCTAACAATTTCTGATGTTATAGAAAGGCAGCATATTCTTCTCAATTATTTTAAGACCTTGAGTGTTGGTCCGGCCAAGGCTCGAATCCTCGACCTCCCGCACAACAGTCCAGGGCCGGGTTGTTCAAAGCTGTGTTAAGATAGCCCAGGGCTAGTGTGAAATTTGATTTCAGATCTGAAAGCTCTGAAAAAAAATACAGCTTAATTCCATTTGTCTACAATTTGGTGATTGAATTCTCTTTAAAAAAATTGGGAAAATTATCCCAAAA